GAGGGGGGAGTTGACACTTCCGGTCATCCGCTTTGCATGCAACAATCCAAAGATCCAAACAACCCCAATCCTCCAGTGGTCCACCCCCCACAAGCTCTGTGGTGCCGCCCCCCACCCCCCATAGACCACCATCTCCCATGCCACCTAAGTCAACATGTATCAACCCTCCAGCCCGGATTTTACATACCTGGAATTCTTTCCTTTTACAAGAATTTGACTTGCTTGGAAATGCTTCCTGAAAATTAAGAAGAAAGGGGAAAGCAAGTCTCATAGGGAATAGTGGAGACGCATTAAAAAGAGGCGTTGGAGGGGCAGCCAAAAGAGGAAGGCCCTCAACGAGATGGATAGACTCGGTGGGCCCAACAGTGGGCACGGGCACAGGAGCCATTGTGAGGATGGCATATGACCGACCGGGCAGCGTTTCAGGAGCCATTGTGAGGATGGCATACGACCGACCGGGCAGCGTTTCAGGAGCCATTGTGAGGATGGCATACGACCAACCGGGCAGCGTTTCAGGAGCCATTGTGAGGATGGCATACGACCGCGCAGCGTTTCGTTCTACTGCGCAGAGCGTCGCTCTCCATCGGAACCAGCGCAACGGCATCTAACAGCAACAACAGAGGAAAGGAGGCAGGAGCCCTGTAGCGGAGTGGGTTATGCATTGATTGGTCAATAGTTTGAATCCACCAGCTGTTCTTCGAGAGAAGGATGAGAGTTTGCAGACTTGGGGGGGGAAAACCCCAAAGCAGGAGTTCTAGTCTGCCCTGTAGTGTCTCTGTGAGTCGGAATCCACCAGATGGGCCGTGCTACCTTTTGCAAACTGATGTGGAGTTTTAGAGATGGATTTTGTACATGCAACAAAAGTGGTAATATGAATAGTTGTGATCTGAATAGTAAGCCACCACAACTAAACACTTGAGTGCCAGGCCCTCTTTGATGTGCTGGGTTTGTCATAACCATTTAATCCCCACAATGTGTGCGGTAGATACTACATCGTTTTCTCCCTTTATGGAATCAGGAACACCAAACCAAAATCAGTGCCACTGAATCAATGCTGATTCATAGCAACCAAATAGGGCTGTGTAGAAATGCCCCGGTGAGTCTCCAAGAATATAACTCTTGCTCACTTTGTGGATTGGACTCCCAAATGTAGGAGACAAAGGGGTGGGGCATAGCCTGGACATTAAGCCCAAGCTCTCTGGATCTGGCAAGAATGACCATGATACAATTCCACCTCTAAAGATGATGAGAACCATTATGTTACCTCTTCAATGACTTAGGTTTGTTTTTCAACTACAGAATTTCACAGAGACATTAAACCTTCGAAGAGCCCTGGTAGCATAGTGATTTAGGCGTTGGTCTGCTAGCCAAGGGTCTGCAGTTCGAAACCATCAGCAGGGCTGCATGAGACAGATGAGGCTGTCTACTCCTGTAAAGATTGACTCTCCCCAAAACCTACAGAGGGAGTTCCACGCGACCCTCTAGGGACACAATGAGTCGGAATCAGCTCTACGGCAGTGGGTTTGGGTAGGGCTCTCTAAACAACCAATGTCAACTCTATGAGGATTATAGTAATTTGTCTTTGCATCTTGTGCTTTTCACAGGGGCCCACTCTGTGAGGTTGATACAAAAGGAGCCGGGTGAGAGCAGAGCTAGCTGTTTGAGTTCTTGGAAAGATGTTTTAAATGTGCATTGCTTTAAAAGCTCATTACGCACTAAGGCAAAAAGAGAGAGAAAGAAAGAAAGAAATACTTGACATTTTGGTATCTGTGATATTAAAAGAACTAATATTTAATATTCAAGTGACGACAGCTTGTAGAGTTTGCACACAACACCCACGGAGATCAATTTTTCTCTAAAATGGCCTTTGGGAAACTGTCTTTAAACAGCTGCCACCTCCATTCTCTGTCTCCCTCGTCCCTGCCAGCTCCATGGGGGACACTCCGAGGGCAGCCACAGACGCATAATTCTTCACTGCAGGATTTGTCTGTGCAAATAATGGAGAATGTGGGAAATGAAGAAAAATGCCGTTTCCACTGAATCCACGTCAGCACCATCCTGACAACTGAAAGCAAATGGGTGTCTTCAGAGTGCTTTTCTCCGTCTGTTCTCTCAGCCCCTCCACACACCAGCCACGAGCACAGAGCCACATAAGGACACATAGGCTGCTGCCTGGCACTTTGCCTGCGTGACTAATTGTCGCAGTACTAATTTACTCACCTGTGGAATTTCCAACCATCCCCCCCGCCTGCTGTCAAGAAGATGCATCCTAATGAAATTAAGATTTTAAAATGCTGAGCACTAGGAAATATTTCATGGTTGTGCCAAGAAAGAGCTCTCACTGAGTCTCAGAGCTGTAATTACTCATTGCTGGGCAGAGGGGGGGAACCGGTTCCCTGGTGCATTTACCTGGTGGCTAATAGGAGCCAAGAGAACAAATCTTTTCTGACCGAGAGAAGTCAGATGACCCAGAATGCATTTCTTTATCTTCATTACTCAAGGTGGATATAGCTGGCCAATTTTTATTATGTTCTACATGAGCAAACACTAGATATATATAGATAGGAGATCTAGAGGAAGGCCCTCAGCTCAATGGGTTGACACCGTGGCTGCAATGACGGGCTGAAGCAAAAATCAAGTGCGAGCATGGCGCAGGACGGGGCAGGGTTTCCTTCTGTTGTGCACAGGTCACAATGGGTAGCAACTGATGTGATGACACCTAACAACAGCCTAGATCTAGATTAGGGTTGCTTAATAAAGGATTGACAAGGGAGATGGGCACGGTGAGCTCAAAGGGCACTAGTGTTGTGAGGACGGCGCAGGACAGTGTTTCATTCTGGTGTCTGTAAGTCTCTGCGGGTCAGAGCCAAGTCAGCGGCACTTTACAACAAGCCTCTATTGTCCTGTACCAAGGAGTACGTGATGGGCTGGATCCTTCCCCCTGTTTTTGCTGAGAAATATGGAAATGGTAAGGATGGGAATATACACCTCTGTTCCTTTAATTGTATAAACTAATAAGCCAATTTGAGACATCTCTGCCAAGCTAGGTTTACAATTTGTCATGGAAAGGTATTAGCCACAGGTATAAAACCTGGCTTTTACGAGGCTCCGGCAGTTGATTGCCCTCATGGTGATATCTTGATGTGTTTGATGGCTCTGTGAAAATCACATAGGCACTCTTTGTACAATGTTCACATACTTTTTTGATTGATTGTGATACAAGTAAAATTTAGAGGTGAAAGCCTATGATTTCCCAAAGAGACTTTTAATTCTTACATTCTGTGGATTTCCAATTCTGGAGGGTGCTCACTAACCCACTGAAAGAAAGAAAAGACCAGGGGGAGAAAAGGAGACCCTAGATGAATACAAATAATTAACATGTTGGGCTGTTAACCAATCAGAGGTGGGGGTAGGGCTGAGGCACATGCT